ATGATTTAACAGCTTCTCATTATCTCTTGACCACCTATTGTTGCTTTTGCAGAACTGGTACTGCGCTTCTAAAACAGAAGCTGAAAATGAAGCTTTTGAATACTCTAAAAGAAGTGGCCTTAATGTTGTATCAGTTTGTCCGACCCTTGTTTTGGGTCCTATGATGCAATCAAATGCCAATGCAAGCAGCTTGGTGCTCATTAAGCTTCTTAAAGGTAATCTTTATCTCAGTTTGCCAACTGTTATTTGCAATTCTGCTTCTACCTTCATGAATTTATCAGCCTCTTTTTATTGAATCTTGAGGCAACTGGTGAAAGTGCTGCAATTATTTGTCTTGTTTGTATTCTTTATATACCAACTCAAAATTAATTTGTGAACATATTGGTATTCATAGAGCTAATAGTATTCCTTTTCCTTTAATCTGAGGGGAATAACACAGCAGGTAAAACCCATATTAACTCACGGCTGAGCTTCCTCACATAGATTTCTGACAGTATCTTGCTTTTGGTCCACAAATTTTTGGTGTGTTACAGTATTGCTTGACATAAGTATCTTGAGTATTTGAAGTCATGAAAATAACAGTCTTAGGGTTGAAGCATATACTCTTAAAAAATAGCAGTAGTATCCAGCAACTAATCTAATCTCGGTTTTTGCATCTCTCTCCTGTGATATGCTATAGAGCTGAAGGTATTTAAATCTAGGTCTCATAATGAAATTCTTTTGGAGCTTCATGTGAAATCTCTGTGTCTTGTAGAAATCATTACTAACTAAATCCTCTTGTGGCTGAAATGCTTAAATTATACAAAGTATTACGTATGCAGTTCAGGATATATATCTGAAAATAAAATAAAATTAGGATGTATAGTTTGACTACCTTCCATGCACTTTTACCCACATAGCAATTCATCAGAGTTGTGACACATCAAACAGACTAGCAGAAAATTTTCTTGATCCAGTGTGTCACAAGTCTTTCTAAATGATAAGTTGCTGGTGTAGTGGTGTAGCCTACTCAAGCAGAATTTTTAAGGATATGTTTCATGTGTGTTCCGTATCCATCTCAGACGAGGTGATACATGAATGCTCTGGAATAAGGGAATCAAATACCTCTTGTTTGGACTACATAGATATAAGGCATGAATTAATATAGCAATGGAGCCAAGTCCCAAGGGGTTGCTATATTCCTGGCTTATTTTATGTTTTTACGTAGTACTGCTGGCTGTGTTACAATACCAATGTTTTAGACTCCGTTTTGTTTCCCTTGTTATGAGAAAGTCTAAACATGTCTACTTTTATTGAGAGGGCAGAAGGATATGAGTCAACAGAAAACAAGCTTCGGATGATAGTAGATGTGCGTGACCTGACCGCTGCCCTGCTTATGGTCTTTGAGAAGCCTGAGGCAGAAGGAAGATATATATGCACATCACATCAAATTAGAGTGAAGGAACTGGTGGACAAGCTGACAAGCATTTATCCTCACTATAATTATCCGAAAACGTAAATTTCTAGCCTTCTCTTTTCATTTATTACTTCCCATAATGTTCTGTTTCCCGCTTTGGCTAGCTATAAGGTACTCTCTTTAATTTGTATTTGGAACTTGGGATGAACACTACTTCTGAATTGTAGCAGATTTGTTGCCTTCTACTTTTAAGTGTAGTATGATGAACATGCTATGCTCTCAAAGTGCCAATTCTACCTTAATTTAAAAATTATAGGCCCCATTTGACTTTAGAAGGTCAAAGTTCGTTGACTTGGATCATAGTTTGTCAAAATTGAGATTTAGTGTATAGTTACCAAAGCTAGGTTGATGAGAAGAGTTTTAATTCTGTTGGTGATTAAATACTTTACTGCCCTGACCATATGTTCTTCATTATTTCAACAGCTTGATTGAGGTTGCTGATGGGGACGGTGTTAGTTCGGAGAAATTACAGAAGCTTGGTTGGAGTTACAGACCACTGGAGGAAACTCTAGTAGACTCAGTGGAGAGCTACAAAAAGTTGGGACTTCTAGATTGGAGGTATTCCATTGGCATGTAATGGCAGGAAAACAATTGTTTTCTAGTCTTCAAACTATTGGTTGTCTATATAGGGACATAGCAAAATGTCCTATTTGTCATCTCTACTTGTGAACTGAATCACTCTGTTCATGAAATGAAGACGTTTTAGAATCTTTACATGATTTTTTTGTGTCCAAATACATCCCTGTGAAAATATATTTTGTTGATTTCCTCTTTAGAGTCTTTAGTTGGGTATAAATGTGTATTGTGTAATGTCATTTTAATGTCTCATTCACTGATGAAATTTAATTTAAGATCTTGAATATTGCTACATTTTTCATAGAATGATTAGAACCATAGCTTACTTGGATGAGCACTTGGGAAGATAATGTGAGTGGGTGTAATGGATGAGCACTTGGGAATATTGCTACATCTTTCTTAATTTCTACACTTAAAAGGGAAGGATTTTTTTTGTCCTAAGGTTATATAGAGTAGTTGTGAAATTGAAGGGAGCCAGGGATACATATACTCAAGAAAGTTGGAAAAGGTAAAAATATCATGTACTACAAACAACTAACGCCTTTCATGGTTTGGAGCGGAATTTTATAACTCTTTTGGGGCTTGGATCTTTTTGCGTTATTAGTCAATCTTGTTGGGAGTAACACAAATCGAACGAATCGATTGTTTTGATGATCTATGTTTGGCGTGGATTTCTTACCCCACATGTCTGATCAAGCGAGCTTGATGATTCAGCCAAAGTATGGATAGTGTGTTCATAACCTATATATATCCATTGTGCCTATCCATTATTTTACATATGAAAAATACAGAGTATTGTGAAACCCTAAACAGAATAAACAAATAGCCAATTCCCATATAGATTTGAGTAGCTCTTGAAGTAATTCCAACCTTCCAATTGGGGTACGGAGTTGGAAGGTAGCTGTGTTACCCATGGGGAGCATTCGTCACTCCTGTGGTGGCGAAATATGCTTCTAGAGCAGCAGTAAAACGTGTCACAGCTTATATGAGATCTACAATTGAGTATTGTATTTTGCCCTAATTTCTGTATTATTTTCATGGTTACAACATCTTATTTCAAACCAATCTTATTATTGATTACCATCCCTGTTCCTTCCATTGCTTCTAGACTTGAAAAAAAAACACACTATTTTAGTCAAGTTTGATTCTTTAACTTTAAAATCATGTTACTCATATAGTTAACAAAATCAACAAGATTCAAATTGACCATACCAAGTTACCTTTGAAACGTAGTAATTTGAAATTAAGTTGACATGAATTATTGGATTTCATTTGAACCCAAACCATGCCTAAGATTAGAAGACCCTAATTATTTATTTATTTATTTATTTATTATTATTATTATTATTATTATTATTATTATTATTATTATTATTATTATTATTATTATTATTATTATATTCTAATTTTTACACAAGATGACCCTAGAATAATCCGACCTAAAACTTTTCTGATCCGTCTTGAATAAATTAGATGATATCCCATATTATTGAGGTAAATTTAATTCACACAATAATGTAATTTTCAATCAACCAAAAACTGATCCCTAGAACTAGAATAACACGAGCTTGATCTATATTTAAATTTCCTCATATATGACATGTTCCATCCAAAAATTTTCTTACGTAAATACTCCCCTTTATTTAAAAATAAATGTCTCAATTCAACTTTTGCACTATTTTACATAATGTGCTTTGACTCATAACTTTGTATATTATTAGTCATATTTTACGTTGTTACATATATTAATTGAGGTGGGACATTTATTTTCAAATAAATAGAGTAATCCATATAAACCAACTCAAACTTAGAGTGAAAAATACATTAGTGGAGTAGCATATAGAGGCGTCAATTCGAATTTTCGAATTGAGTTTGATCAGATCGGATCGGATCAGATCAATTTTAAAGTGTGAGTCATGTTACTATTATGTCCACCCGAAAATAAATAGGATATTTTTCAGATTAGTTCGGATCAATTGTGGTGTACTAAATACGGAAATAACCGAATACAATCCTTGACCATTAGTCCAATACTCTCGTAGTAGACAAAAAAGGGGCAAATATAGAAATAGTAGCGGATAGTTGGAGTAGACGGAATATGGGAATTTGGATGAAAATTGATAATCACAAACTCAACAAGCGGACGAATTTCGCTATTCTTAGTGGCTAAGTGTCTGCCGTCACACATCACATCATCACCATCAATCTCATTCTATCTCTCTCTCCACTTTTATTAATCAAATTATTTAATTCCATTTTGGCGTACTTGCTTATTTTATTAGACACAACAAGACAACTACAACTAGAATTGGGCATGGATCCGGCTATATAACGTCGATTTTCGTGTTCGTGCTTAAGGTCATGAAATAAATATTACTCCCTCTATCTTTAGACTTTTGACGGTCTCTAAAATGCATTTTTACAAAGTATTTAGTTTTATTTCTATACGCGTAAAAATCATTAGAACTTGATATTAATTTTTTTAATAAGACGAATAAAACAAAAGGTTTTAGGGTCAAGTTTTTGAAGTTTGAACCAATTATTTTCAATGAGACAAAAAATAAAAACAGAGGGAGTACATGCCAAAGCATAGTCTAATATTTATAAACGAAATCTATACATGAGATTCATGTGTTATGTCGTGTTAGTTTGTGTCTCGTTAGCAAACTCTCTTGATCATACCATTTTTGTTTTTTTATTTGTGAATGGTAAAAATAACGAACCTGAGTGTTAAATCATACTCTCCTTTGATAACAAATTAACAATATAAAACAAATTCATTAACTTTACATTTAACAACTGAATTTATGATCACCATCATATTTTTTTTTTCTTTAACTACATGCTTAAAAATATTTAAATTATTTCAAAATAGAAGGAGTATAATATAATATTTGCTTTAATATTGTTTTTACCAAAATTCGTGCCAGCTCGGTCCATACCCAGCTCAAAAAGCTAGTGAGCTAACTACCTGGGGTTCAATTTGCCCGCCACAATAACACCAAATTTTCCCGGTAAAAAAAAACAAACAACCTGGAAGTTGCGAGTAAGGGTCCCACTTCTCCTTCCATCTTCTCCATTTCTACCATTTTCATAATTCCTCAACATTTTCTCTCTCCTCTTCCTCTTCTCTTGTGTATATCCTCAATTTCTTTGTAAATATATTTCAAATCATTTTCTTCTTCTTCCTGTGAAACTTTCTCTCTCTTTTGACTTTGTTTGACTCCATTTTTAGGGTTTGCTTTTTTCTTCTTTCTCCCCTGTCCCATCTCTTGTTAACAAGTATTCTTTTTCTCTCTTTAATAATTCAAAATTTCCCTTTTTCTGTCTCCTCTAATTATTAAAAGTAATCTGCTTTTTCTTCAAAAAAAAACATAATTTTGATTCATCCCCTTAATACCCACCTTCTGCTTTGATTGGATAATTTCTCCCCTTTCTTCCGGGGATTTCTAGGGTTTTTCTAGGGTTTTGTTTCTTCTTATTTCTAATTTTTGAGCCTTTAATCTCTCTCTCTCCTTTTTTTTTTTTTTTTTTTTGAATAATTATATCATCTGGGTGAAATTATTCTGTTGATCAACAATCAATCAATTACAAAAAATAATTGATGGCATATCAGCCGATTCCGGGTCGACCCGGATCGGGGTCGAGCTCGGGTTCGGGTTTGCCATATTTGAGTTCACAGTTCGGAGATACCACATACACGAAGGTGTTTGTAGGTGGTCTTGCTTGGGAGACTCAGAGCGAGACGATGCGTCGGTATTTCGAGCATTTTGGGGAGATTCTTGAAGCTGTTGTTATCACTGATAAGAATACTGGTCGTTCCAAGGGTTATGGTTTTGTGAGTATTTCTCTATCTTTCTGTATTGTTGTGTTATGATCAAATGTGGCCGATTAAAGTGGGAACGGAGTAAAATTAAGACTTAAATTGGCCAGTATGTATCTTTGTATGTAAAATTTCATGATAAAAGAGTATGATTGTGAAGTGACTGTGGTTGTGTTTTGTGTGCTTCCTATGGAGGGTATAGGTGACTTTTCGGGACCCGGAATCTGCAAGGAGAGCTTGTGCAGACCCAACGCCTATAATTGATGGGCGGCGTGCCAATTGTAATTTAGCTTCACTCGGACGACCTCGACCTGCTCTTTCATTTGGTATTTTTGCTTATTTCTGCATCTTTTGTTGGATATCTTGTGTTGCTTTTACAAAGCATTTCATTTGCTTCTCTCTGCTTCAGCACTATGGTTTATGTTCCAATAAACTTACTCCTATCAGTTGAATTTACTTGGCATGGGGTTTTGAGTTTTGAGCTTCTATGAACCGTGAGAGTCCTCTGTTGGTGGTATCCATATTTGATAGAAATATATATTGTGTTGGGTGGTGATTGAGGTGTGAGTAATTTATTTTTCCTTACGGCCTTCATTGTTTAATCGTTTGCATATTGAACCAGCATCAACTAGCAAGCAAAGAGATAGAGTTTGGTGGACAGGTGAGTGCAGCTGTTGTTAGTGTGGAAAACTATAAACTGGTTGCTTTGACTATCCAGGGACTGACTTTATTATACTTGACAACTTGTTTTGTCCTTGTTTAGCTGAGTTGAAAATTATGTGATAGTTGTGAAATTGTGCTAGAGTATAGTTATATGTAAAACCCATTGCCTAGTTTTGCTTCGCTGTTGTCAGATCACTATGAATAGCAGGCTAGTTAAGTTTGTTGGCCTTCATTAAAATAGTGCTCAAGGTTTTGAAAAGGAAGATTGAGTGATCGATTATATAATATCTGCTTAATATTCTAGATTTATAACACCCTCCCTTCATATTGGTAGGATTTCTATATCTTTACTTTACATACAAATAAGTATTATTTTTCTTTGAGCCGATAAGTGTTGTAATATTCCTTTTTTATATAATGCTCGTGTTAGAATAGTAGACCACACTTTACTTGCTATTACAGCACTGTAGCATTGGCATGGTATACTGGTAGCTTGTTTTGTTGGCAATTATCAGTTGTGTAGATACATCAGAGATCGAAAATGGGAACAAAGAGATTAATGGAAATAGAACGGAAACAAAAGTCTTAGAAGAGTAGGTAACAGATAAGTAAAAATAATAACTTCGTTTAGAATTAATTAATATTTGGTGTGAAATTTCAAGAAGAATTTGTTCTTTACTTACAATCTCTTTCATTGATCATATCCTACTTTATTTTGTGACTGATTCATCACAGCCTTGATCTCATAAGTGGGGTTAGCTTTGTGAACCAAAAGTGATTATTCCGTATAGTTATCTACAAAAATCTTCCTTCTCCATCCCTTACAATCAAATGCCTCATTCTCGTGCAAATCCATATGCTTCATATCCTCCTAACTCCTTCTAACAAGTCATTTTCAATCTCCTTTTCCCTCGTTTAACCCCTCCATGGCCTCACTCTTCCGCTCTTCGTTCTGGTGCACCCTCGGGTCTCCGTCTTACATGCCCACACCAATGTTGGCGATTTTCCCTTAGTTTATCTGCAGTGCCCGCCATACCCACTTTCTTGTGAATAACCTCATATCTCATTCTATCTCTTAGAGCGTTCCCGCACATCTATCTTAACATGCGCATTTCCATAACCTCCATCTTTTCCAGAATGACATGTAGTTCATTTTTTTGGTCGACCCACAAAGCAACCCCCCTCCCCTTTTCAGTCTTTCTCCCTCTCTAGCTCAAGCTTAACATGCAATTGCATTGAACCTCTTCCGGTGAGACTATCTTTTTCATTTGATCGACTGACTTTGACATTCTCCAGAATTAGCTTAGTAGCTAAGACCTATGTGGAATTGTTGACATAGAGTCAAAAGAGAGAAAAGGGTGGCATCATGTTTTAGGGTTCCTTTTTGGGTGGCAAATAAATAATTTGTGTGAGGTACACGTTTGTTCTAAAAATGATTTACTATGGATTCTAGTAATTTTAAAGCATGAAATGTCTTCATTGTCACTCTGGTGTTTTTGGGTGTTTTGAGCTTTTAGGGCCAAGAATTGTATTGAAACTTGGGTGAACCTTTTTTGCATTTGATAGTTGCTCGCTTTCGAAGAGTGGAGGAGTGGGACCATGGAAGGGTTAAATGAGGGAGAGGGAGACCGGAAATGATTTAGTTGGACGGAGTTAGAAAGGATATGAAGTAAATGGATTTGCACGAGGATGAATCATTGGATCGTAAGGGACAGAGGAGGAAGATTCATGTGGATGACTACACGAAATAATCAATTTTGGTTCATGTAGCCGACTCCACTTATGGGATTAAGGCTTTGATTGATTGATAGTTGCCCGCTTTCAAAAGATTTGAAGTGTGTAAAATGATCTTCTATACATTTAGCCTATAATTGATAGGCTGATAGCTACTGATTGTGTAGAAATAAGTACAAGGATATTGATTATTCGACACCATTTATTGTTGAATGTGGCTATTGAGTTTTCACGAGCAAGTAACTTTTAGATGAATTATGGTCTTTTGGGAATACTTTATCTTTTTAGTGTCAGAATTATGCCTTTTTGTTTAAAAGAAGCCAAGAGGATTGAAGTTGAAACTCTTTCCTTGTAAGTTGATCACTATAGGAAAGTATTAGAATGTGCGAGACTTTCAGCCCATAAGTTAGCTAACTAGTGTGTATAAAAATCATTTCAGAGGTTTAAACAAATTCTTTTTGGTTTGCATTTTCGAACAATAATGTGTTTGCCTGGGGTTATCAAATTTTGGAAGCAATTTTAGTTGCAAACAAGGTGGCAGAATATATTAGGAGTTTTTTTTTTTTTTTTTTTTTTTTTTTTTTTTTGGGGGGGGGGGGGTGGGTTAATGTTGAAATTGGATTTATGACCCAGTACGTTAACAGGTTTACAGATAGGCTTTTAAAGTGTAATGGTTTTGGATCACTAGAGACCACAAAATTTAGGATGCCTTTCTATCGTGGTTTATGTAGTTAGTGAAACTTTTTTTGGCATGTTGTGTCTAATATTTTTTTTTTTTTTTTGGGGGGGGGGGGGAGCCAGTTAGGAATTTGTTCCTTTGTTTCTCAATTGCACCTTTTTGTGTTTGAACAATATTTATATAGTAACTTATTTCCCATTTTTTTACATGATGTGATAATAAATTCATTGTTTAAATTGTTGTTGGGTTAATCTCAATGTATATTTCCAAAATATCAAATTTATAGTTTTTCAAATGTGTAATTCAAGTTGTAAATGATCAAAGTAATGTGTTGGCTAGCGTGAAAGTCAAAATGATGAATGTATTGAGAAATAGAAAAAGTATATTGGGTGGTGGTTGTTGACCTATAGGAGGTTAGTGGGTGGTTATAAAAATTTGGAGTATTCTGGTGATCAATTCACTTTGTTTTGTATTATATCTTTAGTTAACGAATGTGCCTACCTGCTCTAGCCTTTTGTGCCCAACTCTAGAAGCCACATTAAACTCATTAAGTCTAATTCCTGTGCCTATAGGGTGATGTATTCATTCTTTTGTCTCATGGGTGGGTCATTTAAACACATTGGGGTTCCTTAAGGGGCGAATTCTATATATCTTTCTTTTTGGGCTTTGGTAATTGAGAAATTCACTAAGAAGTGTATGGGTGAAGGGTTGCTTGGTTTTTTGTGTGGTTTAGAAGGATCTTGTTGAGTATTGTTTTCATGTATACTTCTTTACTATCTTTGTGTATTATAGTATCATGTATTTATTCTTGTGGCTACAAATTTAGGATAATAAAGGCTTTTATTGGTTATTATTTTTATCAGTTTGGGGGTGAGGGGTATGGTAGGGGTAGATTGGTATAAGAGGGATCATGTGTTAACTTACGATTTCGTATGTTGGCCAAAGGAAGAAAGCGGTCTAGGTTTTGGTAGTGTGATGTTGGAATGCATTAGACTTCATCTTTGGAATTTGTCCCTCTGCGGCACCTAAAGGGGATTAGATTTTAGTCTAAACATGAGTTATTGGGATACTTCGCCTTGTAGTGGATTATCCTGTCTATGCTCATGGAAGTCTGTTTCAAAGTAATTCTTTTGGAGTTTTCCTGTTTGAATTTTTAGTGGGGATCCTTAATCTACTGTGGTAATTTGGGAGGATTCTTGTGCCCTCTTTTTCCTTTCTTTATCATAAGTTACAATTCGATCTCACATTTCATAGTCCAAAAGGCCTCTTATTATCATGGAACATGGAATGTAGGATGAAGGAATCAACTTTTGAGGAAATATCTTTGTAGAGCTTGCTTGTTGATTGTTATGGACTTCTGGTAATAGTTTTCATAAGTATTTTTTTCAAACACTAGTTCTAAGCATCAATTTTCTGTGTTTCCAACTTCATTTGGAAGGTGGTGATTCTTATGAAATTCAGGCATTATTTTGGATTTGTCCAACTCTCTTAGTATCTTCTGGTGCAGCGTCCTGATGGAGATTTGTTGCCTAATATTTGTTTTCTGTTAAGAAGTTGCAAAATAGGCTGTCATCTCTTCATTGAGAGGTGTTCTGATGCTTTATGGTTAGTTTTTATTTTTATTTTGATGGGGCATTTTGGTTATGCTCTGTTTTCCGGTGTGCCATATGCAGGTGAATTGGCTTGGTTTTTGGGAGGGGAGAACAACTGAAGTTGCTTTGGAGGTGTGCATTTAAGGATTGATTTGGGGGCTTTGGTTTGAGCCTAATGACTTTCTTCTGTAGTATGACTCATGGGTGGAGGTGTTATGGGATCTTAAAAACTACTTTTATGAATAATAACTGGATAGGTAGGTGGAGGTGTTATGGGATCTTAAAAGCTACTTTTATGAATAATACTTGGATAGGTTGACAACAGTCTTACGAAATGAATAGCGTTTATATCTTCCTGCTTCCATGGCGAGCTTTTAGATATTTTTTGTGCTCATATGGTCTTTGTTTAATGTTATGTGATAGCTATGCTATGCTTGATGTTCTTTTTGTGATACATACCATATAATTTTATTTAATCTAATCTTGTTTATGTCTTTGTTTGATTTTCTTATGGAAACTTCTAATAGGACGATTAAGATCACCTAGCCCCTATATTGGAAATCCACGTGCACCAATGGGAGGTGTTGGCTACCAACAGGCTGTTCCATACAACTACCAGCAAGGATATGTATACAATATGTATGGGTGGGTTATTGCTTATCTATCTATGGCTACTTTCAGCATTGCAGCCTTTTTTGCATGTTTTACTTATAGTGTTGATCACAAAAGAAGAGAGGAGTGAAGTTGGTTGGATTGGCAAGGCATTTGCCTTTCTCCTAGGTCCATTCTACTTATGTTTTGGCTCCTCATTCTCTCCTTCCCTTTGGCAATTTCTACCTAATGGCATTCCTGAGGTAGGACCTCAGAAGGGTGGCCTGCCATGTACCTACCAAAAAAAGTGTCATAAAAGATAGATGAAATAGTCCCTTTTTTTTGGCAGTATAGTAGACCTGTTGTATGTTTCTTTTGTTTTACGCAGATTATAGATTGCGACACTTAGGTTTGCTAATGTATGCTTTCCCATGTTCTCTCAATCTCCTCTCTCATTAGGAAAGTGTGTTGGTAACTTTTTAATTTTTGGACAGGTTTCAGCCATTTGGGCCTGAATATGCGTATGCACAGGTAATCAGGTTTATAAAATGGGTCATAATGAAAGTTTCAATGAATTTATTCAATGATTTGTCTTATCCTTACTCTGATTTTTTTCTACAGGGCCTTTACAACCCTTATATGGGTCAACAGTACCTTCAGCTGTATGGTGTTCCTGGAACACCAGGTGCACCCATGTATCCATATGGACAGTTGGCCCAATCAGTTCAAGGTGGTGGTTACAGCCCTGTGCAGACTTATCCCATGCCAAGCCACCAAGTTGTGCAATTTGGCGGTCCTAGTGTTAATGCTATGACGTCCTCTATTCCCATTCAGTCATCGTACCATCCAGGCAATTTTCTCCCCATTAAAAGTAAATTCTTTGTTTCTACTAGACGTGTTTCATTTGCTTTACACTGTTAGTATTAGTGCTGTATGCTTTTGGTTTTTGGAATGTCTTGTTTTAATGATTACGGGATTCTGATTCCTGAGGCATTGTCATTGGCAGGTTTGGGTCTAGCAAATTGTGCTGAAAATATGTTTGCAAACTTTTCCTTATTTCGCATTTATTATAAAAAAGAATCTTAATTAGTCTTCAGTTTTTTAAATGTAGTTCTGTGGCTTGAACTTTGTATTCTTGGTTGACCAAAGCCTGCTAAGGATTGAGCCCTTGCTAAGAAAATAACTATAAGGGTTAAAACTGCAAAAATAATTAGTGTTACTATTCTGTCTACATTTGAGTATTCTGTTGGTTAAATATGTATATAAGATTTTTCCTTCTGTTGCATGGGCTGATTTTCCCTCATAATTCATAAGAGTTTATATGTTTATTACTATTGCTGGTTGAAATATCTCATCACCTTAGGTGTGTAAGGTGTATTTCTATGATAAACTTGTGTTTGTCTTGTAACTTGTTAGTTGGAAAATGGAGACAAAGAACATTATAAACTTAGCTGTTGGTATCATGATTATAAATATACGGCCAATGCTAAATCAATTTTTAATTTGAAAAGGTCTTCATTTTATCTTGTGCACAGAGTAAAAGTTGTTTTCATCTTTGAGAATCATTAACTGTTCAGGTGGATTCTCTTTTCAGGTGTAGTTTCCCCAGTTCCTGGACAACCTCAATTTATGGTCCCTAGTCATTCTCCTCAGTTCATTCAAAGTAGTGGTTCTGACCAAGCAACTGGGTGAGAAGACTGATTCAGGCGAGAATTGTGGTCTTATATATATGCTTGGCATCTTGGATATTTTAAATCATATACATATATTGACTAAATTTGCTTTGTTGCGTCTGCAGCTATCCTTAGCTTGCAGCGAGAATTGCAGTTCTGCTACTTGATTTGCAGGCTTCAGATCTAGCCTTATCTTTATGCATTCTAGAGGTACACCTTTTTCTCTCCCTATGCATTCAACTTAGCTTTCCTCTAAATAGTATGCCTTTCCTGGGCAGCTGAGTTGCATGAGGCACATCTGTGAGGCATACTCCTATTTCATCCTTTTTTTCTTCTTTGTTTGCTCCTCTTACTCTGTTTATCTCATGCTTCTGCTTGGCTGCTCCTTTATTACCTCGTATTTTATATCTTCTTTAGAAAAGAAGAGAAGGGGGGAGGGGGGGTGGGGGGGGGGGGGGGGAGCAGCAACAGAGCATTTTTGCATAAAATAAAGTAAAAGTACGTAGTTAAACTGGTAAAACTAAGCTTTTGTGCAAGAGTGCATATGGGTCGTGTGATTTTTCCTCAATCTTGATGCCTGGAGATTCTCAACTCACAGACCTTCGCATCCTGTTTAAATCAAGGTGTTATTATCAAAATTTATCATGGGATGTAAAGACCCTTAAAAGGTCCCCCCCCCTCCCTCCCTTTTTTATTTTTTATTTTTTATTTTTGTTTCTGAGCTGCGTTTGCTTTCTCTTCAGATTATTATAATATGGCAAAGATGTATGCTCATATATAATATTTTTGGGCTGTTGGTTCTTATCAATACTATACTTCCAATTTTGCAGGTCTTACATAGTCATGCTCACCAGAAAAGTCAGATTTCTAATTCGCAATACAGCGGAGAAGAATTATGGGAGACAACGGTTTGCTCTTCCTGTATATTTGATGCATCTTTAAACCTTTCATCGTGGTCAGTGCAGTCCTCAACAAGCTGACCACATACTGCATTTAAGTTGCTGGAAAGGTATCCAGTGGCCCTGTAAAAATAAACCATCCTGTACAAAACATACATGTCCATGTTAGAATCAACATATGATTCTTCTGTAGTTTAAGTCCCTCCCTCCCCTTTGCTCCCAGCCAATCTGGGTTGTATAGAATCTCTGGTGTTCATTTACAGCCGTGCATCTAGTCTTAGGAACCAGACTATCATCCATGTCTTGTGCATATATAGCCTCTACTCATTTTATTTTCAGTATAGCATCTGTTATATTATACATTTATACATGTATAATGTTGGAAGCCCAATTTCAAAATATGAAAGAAGGTTAACTCCATTTTGGAGTCTTACTCGTCAAGTTGCAGCTTTGTATCTAATGTGCCATACTGCCACTGAATTCGATGTAGCAGTGGTACAAGTGGCTTTTGGGCATTCTTTTAACGAATCACCAAAATATTCAGCAGCATCACTTGTCCTAGTGATTGTTACAGTGCTCAAGCTCAGGGGAAACCTAGGTTTGAAACTCATCAGGGAAAGGGGAGGTGGCCTAAGAAGCCTAAGACAGTGTTACTAGGAAACTCATAAGGGAAAGGGGAGGTGGGCTAAGAAGCCTAAGATGGTGTTGCTAGGATAACTTTTTTTGTATAATCAGTCTCTTATGTGCTTTTTTGTGATAAGTGTTGCTACAAGCGGAGGTGGGCTAAGATGGCGTTATTAAGGCTAACTTTTTTGTATTATCCCTCTCTTAATTACGGTGCTTTTGTGTGGTGAGTGTTGGTAGCCTTGCTATGCCAAGATTTGGACAAGGGTATCATGTATTATTACATTGTTCGGAATTTTCTTTTGGCATTGTGCTACTAAATAACAACTTACAAAAAAATTCAATTTGGTTAAGGCAACTTAAATAAAAAGTACTACATCTGTTTCATATTTTGTGCAACAAATGAGTTTGCATGGTTTTCTGGGTAAAATTTGTTTGAGTGTTTAGTGTTGAATGGAGAGAAAGCTAATAATGCATGTGAAGAGGAGAGAAAGATAAATGACTACTTAAAAAGAGAACAAAAAAACATTTGTTGCACATAATATGTAGTAATCATTTTTAGTAAATGCTGCATATAATATGAAATGGAGGTATTATTTTAAAGAGAAATCAAACGTTCCTCGAGCCTTCATATAGAGTTTGAACGTTCTCCACTCTTCATCTAAATCAATGGTCAACATTATTTCAATTCTCTTTATTGATAATTTTTTTTTTTAAATGTAGTTTGAGCACGTACTGTACAAAATGACACTATTCATGGTACTGTAAGCTGATCCAAAACTTTCTTTAAGTCCAAATCTTGTAACGCTTTTGCAATCAACCCAAGTTTGCTCATTGAATTAGGCCCAAGACACACTTAGACGCGTATTAAGCCTAGAATAATGATGTTGTTTTAGCATTTAGGTTAAATGAAAATCTCTTGCTGAAGATGTCAAACACAACATAGAAAGATGCACTAGATGATCTAGCGCAACATCTAAAGTTATAGTGTTGCTTGTCACTTAATACTACGACATCTACAACCCTAACATTAATTATTTACCTATAAATAGAGGGTCGTATTAGCCCTTAATAGGGTTTAAGCTCAAAAAAAATCAAAGAATTACACATGAAAAATAGCCTTGTGATTATACTACATTTTTCCTTCTTTTCCTTAAACACTTTTGCCTAATTAGCAATTATACTTTAGACTAATTAATTAGTTTGAAGTTGTTGAAGGTTTTGAAACAAGAAGAAGCCTATAACCAATCTAAAGAACGATCTAGCAAAGGAAAGTGGTTAATTTTAGTGTCTATTGGAATTGAAATTGTTTTATAACCTAATAGGTAGCAATCTTGTTTATTTTAGTGTCTATTTTGATGAATTTGATTATACAAAAAAAATGATAATAAGGACTTTTGTTGCAATGCATTAGTAAAGAGTACGGTCCTGTTCTCTTCACCTTAAAAAAATAATATTAAGTAAAAATAAGTTCAGTTCAGTAAAATTAATTTCGGTTCAGTAAAAATAATTTCAGGTCAGTAAAAATAAGTTCAGTTCAGCAAAATTCTGTTTTATTAAAGAAGAATAATAATAGAAAATCAGTAAAAATAATTTCAGTTCAGTAAAAATAATTTCAGTTCAGCAAAATTAAGGTGAAGAGAAAGGGGCCTAATTATGAATATCATGTTGCATAATAATGAAATTATGAATAAGAAGAGCTAGTAGAAGTTGCGCGCATTAGGGCTAATATAATCCCTCCGAAAGAACGATTTTCTAGTACCCTCTCTCCCAAACCATCTTTGGTTGTAACAAACCTTTGAATGAACAATCCTTCTTAAGGATTGGATGGAAATAATTATCATGCTTCGTATCAAAACTCCCGGATACACTACTAGAGGGAGATACGAACGGGGTTTATGATGCTGTCCCTAAAACTCATTGACAACCCTTTATTTCATAGAATTTATATAGCATGTCTACTTGTCTCATCTCTAAGTCATGTCTTCCAAACAGTAAAGAATTCCAATTTGAACAGAATAAGTGGCATAAGCCTTGGGCAACGAGGGAAGATCTTACGGAACACCCTTCTCACAGTAATGACTCCACTAGTAACTTGTAAATTACATGCACAATTAGGGGTGCTAATCGAGCGATTTGATCACGAGCTGAGGGCTGCTCAACTCTACTTAAAAAACTTTTTACATTTGTTCAACTGATGCTCAGTAAAGTTTCGAGTCAATAAAACATGCTCGACTCGTGTTCGTAAAAGTTTCGAATTGAGTTGATTAGTCCACGATTTGCTCGTTAAAGTTTTGGTCTTTTTAAAATTATAGGCCGAGTTTTGTTCGAGGCTTGACCGAGTCAAGTTCAAGCTCCCTTACTCCATTAGCACCCCTATGCACAATTTTGCTACAACTCATAATGGCGCCAATTTTGTAAAATGTAAATTGACCTATTTTAGAATTTACTAGTATAGTTTCCGTGCGATGCACGGTTTTAAACAAATATATTATGCGATTTATTTATAATACGAAGAAAGAAAATTTTGTATATCGTTAATTTTTCGTGTACATGATAAGTAATTTCTATTATAGCATAGTATTTGTAAAATATTAAAAAATAAATTTCACAAATCACAATGAACACTTTTGAACATTGAAATATTAACATACTAATAAAATAAGAAATCGGTGGGGATAAAGGATAAATCATATAAAATGTTTACTGTATTAGAATATATATATATATAGAGAGAGTGTGTGTGTGGGGATCACGTGAAAACAAGATTAAAATTGAAAACAAGCAGTCTCCACTGTAGATTATAATCTATCACTCACTCCTCATCTTACGGTTCAGATTTTTCCCCCAAATTCAAGCAAAATGATAGCAATTTCTCTATCCTCTTTCATTTGCACGTAACTTTTTCCTCCTTTATTTTCTCTCTCCTACTTTCTCTCTCTTACTTTCCCAATTCTTCTACCAATTTCATGACACTAATTCAAATCTAGCTTCAATTACTTTGATTTTCAACAATTTCTTAGCTCTACAATCTATTATCAAGTAAGTTATTTGTGTTAATTTCACTATTTTGCTTGATTTGAGTACTTAATTTCGTAATTTTTGTTTCACTTTTTCAACCTAATTTAACTCGATTTTGCTGGATTTTGATTCATTTCATTGATTTTGAGTTTTTTTTTTTTTTTTGATTGAAATTGCAGTAAATCGTTGATTAAGCAGACGATAACTCGAATTGAAGTTGTCCGACGAAAACGAAACGCGACGCAGAAGTTTTGGAGGAAAGACATTGTTGATCTGGTTGCTAATGGCCTCGAGAAGAACGCTTATGGAAGAGTGAGTGTGTTTTTCCCTTATTTTTTTAGCTTAACGATTTGAATTTTGATAGTTGTTGATTTTTTTTTAATGTTTATTTGAATTTTTCCATTGTACATATGATGAAAAATGTTGGTGCATCAGAATATTGTATTTTTTTTTTATATATTTTTATTTTGTCGATTAATTTTGACCGAAAAGCATGTTTGCTTGAATTTTTCGAGAGTTGAATTATTCATTTCTATTGAATTTGCAATTTGACTGTCAAAATTTGAGGTGATACTTAGGTCTAAAATTAATCTTCTAATGAGTAAATTAGGTTTGAGTAAATTAGAAAATCATAGGACATGTTTTTATTTTCTTAGTCATAGGAGTACATGTTTAGTATTAATGGCAGGAGCTCCATTAGAAGCCTTGCCTTATAATATGTTGTTGTTCATCTCGTCGTCAAATTGGTGGAGCAATTGGTGGTTGTTGTGTGGGTGTGAGATGCGACTATAACTGATTTACATATGAAAGCCCGAATTTGGTTGTTGGAGTACGAGTCTCAGCTTTTGTCTCGTCGAAAGGTAAATGAAACCTCCAAAGTTGCTTCAATCACGTGGTTGTTTATGTTGCCATTTATTCATCAGATTTGGTTTCTTGTTTTTGCAATTAGAATTTTTATATTCTTTTCCTATTAATTGCTACAATTGATGGTGTTTGCTTCGGTTGTTGCTCGTGGTGTGGTTCGGGAGTTGCTGCAGCTCGGATTGGTGTTTGGTCAGTGGCGCAGCGGCCGAGATTTGGTACAGTGGCGAGCTAATGGTTGCAGGTGGTTGTGCGATTGGAGGTGGAGCTACTTGAGTGATAGCCTGATAGGCTTACATATATTTTGGCATGTGGTGACATAGGAGTAGTTATCTTATTTTTATATATAGTGAACTTTGGGTAAACGGTTGTAACCTTGTTTCTATATATAGTGACCTTTGTGGCTTTGTGTATATATCATCAAAATAGTTATACTTTAATATAGTTAGGTTTTTTTTTTTTTTTTTTTTTTAGTGACCTCTGGGTAAATGGTGTCAAATTGATATAAATATCCCAAGTTTATACATAGCTACCTTATTTTTGTATATAATGTCCTAAGCATCATGGATACGTTGTAAAATTTGTTTCAGTCAGCTTATTTTTGTATATAGCAATTTTTATGTAAATGTTGTTAGAGTTGATATAGTTACCTAATTTTTATATACAGTGACCTTTATGTAAATGGAGTAAAAAATTCAAAGTCAATATAATTACCTTATTTCTGTACATAGTGACCTCTATGTAAATGGAGTCAACAACTCAAAGTCGATATGGTTATCTTATTTTTGTACATAGTGACCTTTATGTAAAAATAATGACATCATATATATATATATATATATATATATATATATATATATATATATATATATATATATATATATATATATATATAAACCAAATGAAATTTTTTAAAAAAATAATGACATCATCAAAGCAAATTGGCGGGAAATTTTTTTATGTCAAAGTGACGTGTGTACAATTTGGAAAGGGCATGGTGTCAACAATGTTTTGTTTTAGTATTAGTTAATAGATTTCTAATTTCACAAAACAAACAAACAAAAAAAAAAATATTCATATACTACGGTATGGTATGTTCTTAGGGATGGCAATCTAGTCCGGATCCAACCCTACTCCGCCCCGATGCGAGGTAAAATATCCGCTCTGAGTCCGAGAAAAAAGTAATCCGAGTTCGACTCCGTTAAAATAATCCGACTCCGAGTCGGAGAAGGGCCGGAGTCGGATCCTACAAAAAATCCGAGAAAAAAATCCGACTCCGACAAATGTCCAAGTTTAACGGATTATCCGACTCCGACTCTAATAGATAGTAGATTTTTGTATGGGTCATGGTGGCATTGGGTGTGGGTTGTAAAGGCCCAAATAGCCCAACATCTCAAAGTATATTGAATAATGAAAAAAAAAATTCGGAGTCGGGTCGGATCGGAGGTCGGATATTAAAGTCGGAGTCGGAGTCAGATGTCGGAGTCGAAGTTGGATGTCGGATTTAACCTCCGACTTCCTGTCGGGTCGGAGTCGGATTTAGCATAATCCGCTCCGAGTCCGACCCGTTGCCATCCCTATATGTTCTATGTTGTTCATGTGTGGGAAAATTACGGCAACAATAACTGAAACATAAAAGGCAACCGAGAAGTGACGACTGATTCATCTGTGTTAATGGAGGTCCCAACACCCACAACCACTACCACCACCGCCGCCACCTCTGACACCGCCATCACCACCTCTGCGCCGACAAAGACCGACCCCTCTCCACCGCCGGAGACAATTCCTCCGCTTTCCGATCCCAAAAAGTCACCGGATTTCGTCACCGTCCCCAGCTATTCCAGTAACCCTTTTTTCCTGGTTCAACTTTCTTTTTGATTTTTATTCTATTTTTTTGATTGAAAATTGAAAATAAAAAAGAACCCATTATTGATTAACAGGTTGGTTCAAATGGAATGAGATTGACGATTGCGAGGTGCGGCATATGCCGGAGTTCTTCGAGGGGAATTCACCATCAAAGAACCCTAATGTTTACAAGTATTACAGAAATGCCATTGTTAGCAATTTCAGGTCTAACCCTTCTAAGAAGCTCACTTTCACTGAGGTCAGGAGGTGGCTTGTCGGAGATGTGGGGTCTATTCGCCGCGTCTTTGATTTTCTTGACACGTGGGGTCTCATCAATTACTCTCCGCCTTCCGGTAAGCCGCCTTTTAAGTGGGAGGACAAGGAGAAAGAGAAGGAGAAGGACCGAGAACCCGCCGCTGTACCATCTGCTGCTACTGCTGGGAATTCCATTATTCGGAAATCTAACAAAATGTGCAGTGGTTGTAAAGTTGCTTGCACTATTGCTTGCTTTGTTTGTGATAAGGTATACTTTTACTCTATTACCATCTTTTTGTTTACTTGAAGTAAATTAACATAGTGTAGGAATGTAAAATTGATTGTCACATTGGGTTTTATCAGGGTTTATGAGATGATGGTGTTGGACTCGTTTTATAATTAAGGGCGTGTTTAGTTTCACCTTCTAGATATTGGTAGAATGGCAGGGAGGGAGAGTGATGATCATGGTTGACTGTTACAAAAGATTAAATCTTGATTCAGTTAACAGACTCCTTCATTACAATTAAGGGGGCGTTTGGTATAGTAATTTTAGAGGTAGGAAACGGATTTAAATAAGTATTTCCATTTCTAGTTGTTTGGTATGAGTTAAAAGTAACAAATACCGTTTTCAAAGGGTAACAAAATCCCCTAATTTGTTACCCTTGACAAACTAGTGAAAACAAAATACATTTCCTTAATCACAATCTACTTAAAATGTTTCCATTCCATTAGAATACATTAGAATACCAAACATATAGTAAAGGTAACGTTTAACATTACCCTCCCCCCCCCCCCTTTTATTTAAATCGTTTCCATTCCATTTACAGTGTTTATACCAAACACCCCCTAAGTCTCTAATGTTGTTGTTGTAGTATGTGGAGTTTGTGACTTGATACTTTCGTGTCTGTTAAAGAGGATCTCCTGTGGGCTGCGGTTGTGACTTGTGAATGTGTGTGTGTGACTTGTGAGGCAGTGATCCAAACAGAGTTGTGTGTGCACCTTTCTTGCTTTCCCCTCTAGGATTTCTAAAAGCTTTGATTCATCAACTTCCATGCTGGTTTAATTGCCATCCCTCTAATGCACTAACGAGTATGACCTGTTTGGTAAATGCCTAAATGGTATGGAGAGATGGAAATGATAATATGTGTGTGTATATGTATACTCTGTACAATATTTTAAAAAACGTCTTATGCCAGTTTTCATGGTAGTGCTACAACACCCAATCATCTCCTCCTTCACAACTCACGCCAACATCTTGTTTCCATTTTTTCTTATGCGGGCCGGGGTGGGGGAGTTATGCCTTGGTCTGCAGGTGATGGAGGATTGGAGGTTTCACAGATTTTAGATGAGACTGACAATGGAAATAGATATGGAAACTGAGATAGGTTGATTTTCATGGACCAGGGGAATGGGGAGAATTTGTTGGAGGATGAATAAGTTTGGCTTGGCTGGGGAAAGCAGTTTTGAAATTAGGGGGATGGTGATATAATTTAAAATTTCTAACTGATTTGACTTGTTTGGTAGCCGGTTATATAAAGCGCCAAAAGTGGTAATGGGAATGAACTGAAGTGTAATTTGACCAGCAAATTAACATCCTATTGTCCAAAGTAATCAAATCGCATCCTCTAACTTGTGTTTTTCTTCTTAAGTGTCCATTACCACCAAGTATAACTCCCAACTACTTTTGGATAGTGATGAAAATTTGATAAGAAGATGAAATACCATGGAGTGAACTAGCATTACCTTGGGAATGAACATTGATTTTTCTTACAAAGTTATACACAAATTCATTCTCATTCCCACCATTAGTTACCACTTCCTAAACTGGCCATAAATATTTGATTAAGGGAGCTCTTGTAGTTATTAGTTGAGCTTTGTGCTAGTAACTTAGATAAGGTAAAAAGTAACTTAGATAAATATTGGCTCTTTTTGTCTATCATCATCTTTAGAAAAGGGTTTGCCTTCATTTTTTAGTTTGCTTCTTATATTAGTAGGTTTATTACCCAGGAATATTACAATTACTTCACAGTAGCTAAGAAATATTTATCTTTGTTGGGCAGCATGACCTGGTGCTCTGTGCAAGGTGCTATGTTCGTGGCAATTACCAAGTTGGTGTTAATTCTTCAGAATTTAGACGGGTTGAGATTAGTGAACCAGTGAAGACCGACTGGACTGATAAAGAAACTTTACAATTGTTGGAAGCCGTTATGCATTATCGTGATGACTGGAAGCGTGTGGCTGAACATGTTGGTGGTAGAACTGAGAAAGAATGTATTGCTCGTTTTATCAAGCTTTCTTTTTGGGAAAAATTTGCAGAGCCTGCAGGTATGGGCGAGGAAGAAAGCATGTCAAGTAAGGGCCAAGTGGATGCTGAATCTGGTACAGAACCCCCTGCAAAGAAATTGTATCTTTCACCACTTGCTGATGCTAGCAACCCAATAATGGCTCAGGTAACAATTCCTATGTGGCTGAACTTTTTGTTAGGTATTCATGGAATTAGCATTGCTCTGTTAAGTTTAAGCACCTTGAAGATTTGACAGAAAATTGTGACCCTCCAACAATATTTTTGATCCTAGTCACTGCACTATTCTTGTTTTAGGCTGCATTTTTGTCAGCTTTGGCTGGTATTGAGGTTTCAGAAGCTACTGCTACAGCAGCAGTGGCAACTCTATATAACACAGACCGTCTAATAAGCAGCAGCAGGGGCAGTGGTCAATTGCAGGTCCATTCAATGAAAGTGCAAGGTATTGTCTACCATCTTACTGTGAATGTATTACAGCTTGTACGCTTTCTTATCATACTTTTGACTCATAAGCTGGTGTTACTGCTTGATTACCTGTCAATTTTGGTCCTACATAGACGATGCAGTTGTAGTTCTTAATGTTTCTTGGGACGTCGTGGTTTAATTTCTTCTTATTTTTCTGTTTAATGATCTCAAATTTTAGTTTTTTTGCCTGTTTGTTCCAGATAATGGTTCTACATTTTGTTTAAAGTGTCGTAGTTAATTTATAATTTAGACCTTTTAATAAGCTAGAGGTTTGTGTGACCATTATTATAAGTATGTTTAAGAATTCTCTGTTAATTAATTACATTGGCTTAGAGAAGTTAACAGTTTGGTAATTTAGTTTCATGTTGATCTTACTAGTATGAACTATGAAGAATACACTGTGGCACTCGCACTGTGCTTGATAGGGTTATGTGTATTCTATTATTCTGTATGCTCATTTAACATAATATTCTATTTAAGATTTGGTTATCATTTTCTGTGTGCTGTGGTCATTGAGTTAGTGTTCTTAGTTGTAACGTGTGTTACACACATTTGTGATCCAGATCCTCCTATTGAAGCCAGTGGTGGCATAATTTGTACTCCAGAGGAAGCTCGTGTAGAGGCAGAGTCCTTGCTTAAGCAGGAAGAAGATGAGTTTTTAAAGTCAATAACTGTCATTATCGAAGATAAGGTTGGTATTCAGATTGGCATAGACTCGCTATAAACTTTATTTTACATGTAATGACTTGATTGTTGTTGGATTTCCTTATAGATGAAAGTGATCCAAGATAAGATAGATCGTTTTGAAGAAAAGGATTTACAATTGGAAAGGGAAGGCATCAGTTGCAGCAAATGAAGCACCAGCTTTTTATAGATAAGCTCACTCTTTTATTTAACAAAGCTACTGCTTCTAAATCTGCAGAAAATGTTACAGAAGAGATTGTGAGAACAGAATTGCCTTCATCTAAATAGCTCAGTCATTTTGTGTAGTTGCAATTTGTAAAATTCGTCCAAGCCATGGTAGCTTATTGTTTCTTGCAGTTTAAAGTAGATGAATATGTTACTTGTAATTTAGGACTCGTTTGAATTTCGCTCTTATATTGAGTAGAAACATTAGTAAGTGTTGTACACTTGGAGCCTTCTCTTATGTGAAATGAAGTGATCAGGCTAATTTTGTTGGCCACAGTACAGTCAATTAAATAACTATGGACTCGAAAAGAATCCCCTCCCACCCCCCTAAAGACCCTGAGTTCCTGACTATCTTGTTTTTAATTTTTTATGACTGTTTTTTTCAAGTTGATGTTACGAGTTAGCTAGGTAAATATACGTATAGTAGTACTTTGTTTAAGGCATTTTGAGTTCACCAAAATGAAATGGCAAGTATTGGCAACATGAGTATGGACTTCATGTCAATAAAATAAAATAGAAGTTATTAGGTAGTTATCCCAAGACCTAAAACCGTGAAGTAATATACTAATATATACTCGTATTTTATTTGCAACAAAAGAGTATTTTATGAAGAGATAATAATTTTACTTGTAACACATTACTTTGGCACACATTTTAAGAAAAATATCTTCGGCAAATGGAAAAATTAATTGACAAAATTATACCAACACTGACAACAAGAAAGTGATAAATTGCTACAGTTTAATATTTTACAGCTTGGACGAGATTATCTCCGAACAGATAAAGCCGCAACCTTGGTACTATGATGTCATTATGTGTGAGCTTGATCCAATAAACGGCCCTTTTGGTTTTGATCCCCATGTCCAAATCAAGTCTTCATACACATTAGACTCCAGCTGTGCTTCCATTGGATCCAGGCCTCAAACTTTGCTTCTTAATTCTTATGCATGTTTTGGGCTGCATTTTTGTCAGTTTTGGCTGGTATTGAGGTTTCAGAAGCTAATGCTATAGACCAATAGTAGCAGTATCAACTCTATATGACATAGATTGTCTAACAAGTAGGGGGCAGTGGTCAGCTGCAGGCCCGTTCGATGTAAGTGCAAGATGTTGTCTACCTTCTTAATGTGAACACATTACAACATGTACACTTTCTTATTATTCCCTTTGTCCCATAGTATAGTGCCCCTTTCGCTTCAAAACAAAAAGGATTTTGATAGCCATTTTATAGTTAAGCACAAAGGGATCATGTTAAATACAGCTATTTTATTTATATTATATTATATTCAGCAGAAGAATTGATTTAGTTTCATACATAAACAAAAAAGGAAAAAAAAACTCAGCATAACTGATCTGTTGTCTGACAAACAGTGTGATAGTTTCTACCTGTGTGAGCGGCAACATTATGCAGCATAGCCAGTTGAATAATATACTCACAATTGGATGATTATTTTTAACCTCAAAATTGATGAATATATACAGTAAGATTATTTAAGAAAGAGCACAAACACCTTTTCCTGTACTAGGCTAATGACAGCATCAGTTACTGCTTAGGAAGACTCTCTTCCATCAGCCTAATCTAAATGATTGGACAGCCTGCAAAGAAGATAAAAGCCGAAAGATTTAGCAAATAAGACAGTTTGTTTAGAGTAGCAATAGCTGAATTAAGGTTGATGGGTTCATTAGTATTTTATTTGACATACCTTTTCAATCTCGGATCCAAATTTATCAGATTCTTCTTCCAGAAACTGCAATATAAGTAAAAAATATACTGATAACTTTAGCTTCTTAGTAATTTAATTAACATCAGGTGCCTGAATTTTTTTCAGATGAACAAATCTAAGCAAAGTTTACCTGGCCAGTAACTGTGTACAGCCTGTTATACCAGCCATTGTTCGCCATCCCTATTGCAGAGTAGATGTGCCGGCGACTTTCCCCAGGATTTTGGAGCGTGTACTCAATATAATAAAGTCCTGGCCGGTTCAAAAGGACAATAGGTTTTAAATGTTACAATTTACTCCATATACAAATGTACTTGGCTTATTTGTGAAAAACTCGAGTATGTAGTCCTTATCTATACTGGTTGGTCCTCGTTTGAACTGATTTTTCTTGAACATATTTTATACAATGAAATTAACAGAGCCCTATTCTAGTTTACACCAATAAATAAGGGAGAAAAACAAACTAGTTACCGCGTTTAGCTTTACAATCTATGAGTTTTGCTGCGATCCCAGGAGGCCTCTTCCAACTTCTGTCCAATCCATTAACCTGATCATTTGTGGAAAATTCAGATATACCATTAATTTTAGCATATGAATGACAATGGAATATGTTCAAGTGGTGAGTTTTCGGCGGTTACCAGACTTTCTGCAAAAGCATCTACATTGCCAAAAGACTCCAATTTTGTAAAATCGGGACCAATTCCAGTGATCACCACACTGACTGCAGAAGTAGTTCATCAGGAAGATTAGATATATGCTCACATTCGTGTAATTATTTTACGAAATAGTTTCGCAGAATGATATGCTAGTATGCTACCATTTGAAGTAGAAGTCTCTTCAGGATAAAATGCTGTAATGGATTTGATTCCATCTGTCTCCCCAGCTCCAACTTGCCATTCTGAATGGTAATTCAAGCACTTATCAATAAAACTGTGTATTTGTGATCAAGTTTATGATGTTGAACGCGCTTAAACTGTGCTGTTGAATGACAGTATTTACCTTGAGGGATAGAAATCTTGTACTTGTTAACATCGTCAGAGTAGATGCGAAAGTCTGCAGGAACATCTGAAATAACATCCAAAGGCAAATACATAGAAGTATAAATAGATTCATGAATGTTATTGAATTATTATCAGACATAAAAGGGTTGTGTTATTTTCCTCACCATCAAGTGCTAGAGCAGGTGAAGAAACAGCAGCAGTGCCAACTTGAAAAATTGCAGAGAAAGCCATCTGAAGTATTACTTCTCTTCTTCTGGTGCTGCTACTGTCAGTTTCATGTTCTGTCACTGCGGTTTGTCGAGTATTTGGGAGAGAGCAGAAGACAACAGACTGCTTTCTAGTTATAAAGCTTAGCCTGCCTGTAAATATGCCATCAAGTGACTTTGTTTATGATTGCAAATTTGGTAGTGTAATCAATAAAATGCAAAAAAGGGATGTATGTTTAGGACCTGAAGTTCGAATACGAGCAGCGAGGGGCAAGGAAGCAGAGGGAGTGCGCAGCCGGAGCAACGAAGCAGTGGCTGTGCTCCCTGTGGCTGTTGGAGCAGCTGCCATCATCATTCTGACTAATTAAGTAATTCTCTCAGGCAGCCTCTTTTGTGTAGGATATCATATTTCTTGGTTGGTCCATCATATGCCCATTTGCTGATTTGCGCTTTGTGGTGAGCATCAAAATGTGGCCCACTTTCAAAGTAATCGATCTTTAAATTTTAGGAAGATAATACAAGTGATTGACTCAATTTATCCTCAGATTAACTAAATAATAGTAATTTTTTTTTTTCTAATAATAACAAATTAAGTAGAAAAATGTGATTTTTCAAAGTGTATAAAAAAAATAGCAAAATGGATGTAACTTAAAAATAAAGTATGAACATTTTTAATCATGTTAAATTGATCAAAATAGCTGTTTTTAGATTTTATTAATGGGCTCTACTAGTTATTGTAGCATTTTGAAAGTGCCATGGCTTAGGGTATTTTTTATTTTTCTCATGGGCATTATTTTTTTTTTTTTTATTTTTTTTTTTTTGCCTATGAGGGAGATCAGGGGCAGAATCAAGGGGGGCTAGGTAGGCCATGTGTAATACCTCGTGTTTTTATATGTATTTTAATTAAAATAAGTATTTTGAGAAGTATTTAATTAAATTGAATTGTTTTATTTAAAGTATTTTAATTAGATATTTTAAATAAGTTTGGAAATATTTATAAAAGGAAGAAGGGGAAGCAGCGGGGTTTAGGGTTTAGGGAGAGGCTAAGGATCGCGATGGCCGGGGAAGGAGCATGTTGCCGTCGCCGGTGGGTGTTGCCGCAATAAGGGAGAAGGGGAGGTGGTTGTGCGATAAGGGTGAAGTTTTTTTTTTTTTTTTTTAATTTAATTTTCTTTTTTTTTTAAATATTGACACGTGTGAAAAAAAAATTCTAACTCACAAATGTCAACCGGTTGCAGGTCATTTGGGGGTGATAAAAATTAATTAGGTGCAAAATTGGGAGTGATAGGGAATAAACTGAAGTTGAGATTAATATCGGCGGATGGAGCAAAGTTGGGATTAATGGTAGCAATTTATAAGTTGTGCAATGAGAGAATAAAAATTACTTCTCGAAGAAATAAATAAAAACTTCGTATATATATGATCTTGGACCTCTTAACGTAAAATTTATGGTTATGCCACTGAGTGTGATTAGGGGATTTTGCTCCCACCAATCAGAATGCGCCACGTGGGCCAATCAGATCCTGCCAAGTGTCCCCCAGTTGGACCTCTCAAGGCTTGCCACGTGGCACACACTTATTCGTCCACCCTGGACCTATTATGTCATGACACGTGGCATACTCCATGCCTAATGGAGAAGTCGGCCACCTAGGCCCAACTTCCGAGGGAAGCCCAATCAGCCCAACGTTAACCTAAACCTAGGATTGGCACGTTTCCCGAGGTTATAAATACCTCCCTTAATCCTCATTAAGGGGGATTACGCAGATTACACACATTAAACACTCTCACCTAGAGAGACCCAATCACTTTAATTTCCGCATTAATTACTCCTTAATCAAGTACTAACTTGACCGTCGGAGGCGGGTCTCCGATCATCCGGAGCATCCGTTTGTTTTGCAGGTACAGGCGTCCGGTTCCAGTCTCGGAATTGTAACTCTCCCGCAGGACATCAGAAAACCCCGAAACATTTTTGGCGCCGTCTGTGGGGAGAGTACTTCTGAGATGGCATCCACGTTTGTACCGGCTCCTGAAGAGAGACGTCCCCTGGACGACCCTCTAATTCAGTCGGACCACGATACTGAGAATGAATTTGAAGTTGAAGCTCACACAGCTTCAGACGGGACCCTAAGGGCCCGACGTACCCGTCATACCGAAAGGAGGGAACGGGAACATCTTCAAACTGGAAGTGAGCCAGCAGGCGCACCGCCTGTTCGGCAGCAGCCGACTGATGGGTCTGCTCCCATCACAAGGAACGAACTCATGACCTTCATGAGGGACTTCAAGGGAGAAATTCAAGAGTTGATCAACAAGAAGCCGCCTGCTCTGGACAAGGAGCAGTCGGCTATGAAACCCTCCACTTCACGGAAGAGGAAGCCGGTTCAAGGGCGAGAGGCGACCCCTCATCCTAAATCTAGGAAGTGGGAGCCGCCTGCCCTTGATTTCACAAAATACCGTTTTCCTACTACAGGAAAGAGGAAACCTGTTTGTCATATTCAGGCGGACGGGTCAAGGAAAACATACACAGATGCTCGGCTACTGCTAGAGCAGAAGAAGAGTGACCGATTGTCAGAGTCGGCCTCTACTTCAAACTTCCAAGACAGTCTGCGCAATACCTCGATGAGGCATACTCAGTCGTATCATGAAAGTCAGTCAGGCGGCACCTCCCGTCAGTCCGGCTTTCATAGCGACCAGGCGGTACCAAACTTACCGTTTGTACCGCAACAACAATTTTTTTTGCAGCCACCTCCGTTTGGTGGGCATGCAGCAAAAAATGTCCAACCTATGGACTGGCAGCTACGGTTGCTTAGACTTGGCGAACAGCCGTCGGCCTTCTCCAAGGAAATTACTGAAGCCACTCAGCCGTCCAAAGTGAAAAATGTATTAGTAGGCGCCTATGACGGCACTACTAACCCAGAAGACCATCTGATGGCATTCACCAACCTGATGTACCTTCAAGGGTTGGATGATCCCACTTGGTGCAAGTGTTTCCCAGCGACTCTCAAAGGAATCGCACAACAATGGTTCGGCAACCTGCCGACTGGTTGTGTAAATAACTTCAGAACGCTTGCTTACTTATTCACCTCCAACTTCGCCATGAACATCCCTGCGAAGAAGACGACCCTTGATTTAGGAACGATTTAGCAGGGCGAGAAGGAGGGGCTTCGTTCTTACATCAGGCGGTTTAACCTGATGAGAATAAAGATTCAAGGGTTACCGGATGAAGTAGCCTATACTGACTTTTTCAGAGGTCTCAAAGACGGGTCGACCTTCAAATTTGATTTGGTCCGAAAGAGGGTGGCGACTCTTCAAGAGGCCTTGATTGAAGCGGAAGCCTATATACAGGCGACTGATCTTTGTAGTACGGTAAAACAGTCAGACGGGAAAAGGTCCGACAAAAGAGAAGGACGACAGAAACAGTCGTCAAACAAAGATGAGAAGAGAAAAGAGGTCTGGGCGGCTGATTCCTCTAAACAGCCGGCCCAGAAGAAGAAAAAAGAATTCAAACCATACTCCCCAAAGTATGCGTTTAACAAGGATAGCCAATTTATCCTAAAGGAAATCAAGGGACGGATCTCAATTGAGAAGCCGGTCCCCATGAAGGGTTCTGCAAACAACCGGAACCAAGAAAAATTCTGTGATTATCATGAAGATGTTGGTCATCACACCAATGAATGCATCAGTCTCATGCGGTATCTGGTCCGCCTGGCTGAGCAAGGTGATCTTGACACTTATGTCAAGAAATCTACGGGGAACACTTCCTCGAAAAAGCAGTCGGCCAAAAAGAATCAACAGGCCGACAGCTCCGATACAGATGATGCAGTCGTCTACACCATTGCAGGCGGCTTCTCAGGAGGCGGCCCCACTATTAGGGGCAACAAAGACAATATCAGACGGCTAGATGTAAATTCCGTTCACCAAGAACGGCTCTCCAAATATTCATTTCCTGAGATTGTCATCACTGAAGAAGATCTAGGAGGGGTAAGAGGGCCGCATGACGACCCTATCGTTATTGAATGTAAAGTGGCCAACCAGAGAGTTGGCTGAATCCTCATAGATACCGGAAGCTCCTCAGATCTCATCAGTAGAAAATGTCTGTCGAAACTAAAATATCAGACTGATTGCATACATCCGGCATCCCACCCTTTAGTATGGTTTGGAGGAGGAGTCGTCCACCCAGTGGGACGAGTGGATTTACCCATCCGCCTGGGTGAAAAAGGGGAAGGACGACACATGGTAGTCCGGTTCCTGGTAGTAGAAGAACTCTCGGCCTACAACATGATTCTGGGACGACCAACCCTGAATAATTCCAAGGCTGTTATAATCCCATCTCTTATGTTGCTCAAGTTTGAGAGGGATAATGGAACAGTCGGGTCCCTAAGGGGAGATCAGAGGATGGCCCGAGAGTGCTATCTCTCGGATGTCAAGCCCACTGTTATGGCCGCTGGGTCGAGTGGTGGAAAAATAGACCTTGATAATGTCAAGGAGAGTGCGCCTGTTCAAGAAGCAGGCGGCAAGAAGCGAAAGGCATCCCAGACGGGGGCCGCAAGAAAAGACAGGAAATAGCAATCATTGGCAGAGGAGCGGTCGGACCTCCGAGAAACTTTCGCCACACTCAGGCGGCACCATGTCATGCTCAATCCCAAGAAATGTGTCTTTGGAGTTGAGTCTGGGAAATTTCTCGGATTCCTTATCAATCAGAGAGGAATAGAGGCGAACCCTGAGAAGGTGCAGGCGGTCATCGACATGCAGTCGCCTCGTACCATCCGAGAGGTTCAGAAGTTAACAGGTTGTCTGGCGGCCTTGGGAAGATTTCTAAGCCGATCAGGCGACAAATGCCTATACTTTTTCCAGGCAATTAAGAAGAAGGCAAGGTTTTAATGGGGGCCGGATGCTGAGGCGGCCTTCCAGAAATTGAAAGTTCACTTGCATTCCTTGCCGAGGCTGGTCAGCCCTTTACCCAAAGAAGTACTTTACATGTACCTGGCCGTCTCTGATCATGCGTTAAGCGCTGTTCTTCTTGCCGAAAGAGACGGCTGTCAGCTCCCGGTCTACTTTGTCAGTCATGTACAGAAAAATGCCGAGTTGAGGTATCCCTTAGTGGAGAAATTTGGTCTTGCACTCTTCATGGCTGTTAAAAAATGGAAGCCCTACTTTTTGGCACATGCAGTCGTCGTGTATACAGATCAACCTATCAAGCGGCCACTGACCACCATGGAGTCGTCAGGCCGAATGATCAAATGGGCCATAGAAATACAGAGCCTCGAAGTTACTTTCGAGCCTAGAAAAGCAGTGAAGGGGCAAGCCTTTGCTGACTTTATTGTTGAGATGACTCGTCCCCCTGATTCTCGAGATCCAGACCAAGTCTTGAAGGTATATGTGGATGGAAGCTCTACATCAAATGGTTGTGGAGCAG